TATTTGTGTTAATTTCAGTATGAACTAACTCACTTTGGGTTAGGGTTTTGATGTAATTAGGATTTTTATGTTTAATCAATAGATTATTGTTGCTTTTACATTCTATTGCATGGATTGTGTGATTATTCTTGTTTTTACTGAATTTATTTGTTGAACATGATGAGATTGAGAAATGAATCATGCATGAGCTTCTTAGGATAATCGCCATTGTTGTATTGAACGCTAGAGATAGGTTTGAGAATCAATGAAATCAATTTAGGATTCCATTAGCTTAACGAACTTGGAACGATTAATCTTCAATTTGTTGGGTGTGGAAGCTGAATAGGGAAAAGTAGGAAAACATAGCCTAAGAAGGTATGTTTTACACATTAGGGAGTCCGATTTATAATCCGTGCATGTGAGTGTAGAAGTAGCATAATTCGTAGATTTTTTCATAAATTCCTTGTGAAGTCAAAACCATAACCGTTTGCCTTAATTGATATTTTCTCTCAAATTAGTTTTACTATCATTAATTAGCCTTTTAAGTACGTAGTAAATTTTGTTTTCCCTTTAGCTTAATTTCCTCCCGCAAATCCAAACATTTTTCGTTTTCTCCAACTTGACAAACAACTAGGAAAATAAGTGCTTAACAAACAATCCTCGTGGGAACGATACTTTACTTATCACTTTATTACTTTGTGCGACTAGTGCACTTGCTACACATTGTATGTTGTAATATCAACGCATCAGCTGCCATCCTGACAAACTTAGACTCTTCTGGCCAGAATAATTTGTATTCTTCACCCTGAGAAACATCATCAAGGATTTACACTCTTGCAACTTAGAATCAAAATTAGAAAATGATAATTGCATCGTAGAACAAGGTTTATCATTAACTTATTTGAAGATTGCTTTTGTCCTGATTGGACAGAAAGTAGGGCTACTCTTAGACCTGGCAAAACGGGTCCAAACTTACGAGTCGACCCGTACCCGGGTAAAAAAATATAAGGTATGGGTTTAATGTATTGGACCCGTACCTGACCCATATAATCAACGGGTTATACGGATAAACCCACGGGTGCCTCTTAAAAAAAAAAAAAAAAAGGGATTTGAAAATGAAATCCCTAAATTTGTGAATCACTTTGACAGTTCGACTCTAAGTCTCTAACTCTCATCTCATTCTCATCCCATCGTCACCATCTCTGATCTCCTCTCTCTCACCATCGAAAGTCGCAACTCACCATCTCCTCAGTCCTCTCTCTCACTATCGCCATCTCCTCTCTCTCACAGTCGCCTCGCCACTCGCCATCTCCTCTCTCTCACCGTCGCAACTCACCGTAAAGGGTATGATTGTGATCTTGTTTTGTTGGGGTTTTGTAATCTTGTTTCTTTATTACTCTATAATTGGGGTTTCATGTTTATTGTATTCTTAAATAGAATTCATTTGCTTTTGAATTGTAGAGTCGAGGTGTTATGTTTTTATGATGTTTTTAAGAACTTTTTTTTGATTGAATAGTCTTATTGCCCTTATTAAGGATCTTGTGCATTGGCAGATTCTTTTTTGACCACATACGTATGAAGGATTGTGAAAGAGGTTAAATGAAAGTTGTAAAATAAACTAATGTTTGTTTGAAGCTTCATGGTTTTAGAATAATCACTAGGATATGTTGATTATTTACTGATTTGCTAATGAATTTTCTTGGATTTGTGAATAAATGTAAAGAATAGTTATTGAATTTAGACTATATCTGGATGACTAGTGATATTACGGCATTCAAGGTCTTTTCATTTGTTAGATTGACAGTATCTTTTCGGGTCTTGGATTAATGTGAAGAAATTGCTTGCTTAACATGTGAACCCACTTTCGAATCTTGCTCTGTAAAGATATGAATGACAGGCTGTTCATTGTAATTTGGACTATATGATTTTATAACTAGCAATTGATTTTCATTAATGTATCTGTTTGGTGTTTCCATGTAGGTTGTTGACATTTCATTGAATGATTACATTGGAGTCCAAGTTGCCAAGCATGCCACCTATGTGCCATACACAGATACACTGCTGGTAGGTACTTTGTGAAACGTTTCAGGAAGGCCCAATGCCCAAAAGTAAGTTATTCTGCACATATTTTTGACTTTGAATTATTTTTAGAGCTATATTACCTAATTAATCTTTGACAAAGAAAAGGGATTTCTGCATTTTTTTATCAGTCCCACTAGTTTGCATACAGTTCATAATTCTTCTCAATTGTCCTACGTGTCCCATTCAGACTGCAAATACATTTTATATCCTATAAATTTTCAGACACTAGATGATTAATTCTAGCATTTCATGCAATGGAGTAAAAGAGTACATTTTCAAGTGATTAGACTTCCATAGAACAGTTGTTATTTAATGAGAGCTAATAGCTGGTTACAACAAATGGTGGAGCCAGAATTTTGTACTCGGTGTGACTTATTGTTAACGAAATATTTAATAGCAATAAATATAGACTCATTAATAATATATATAGTTAACATAAATGTGCATCTATTACTGACGAATCATTTTTCTATATTTTGGATTTTTCTCTTGTCCATAGAACAGACTTTACGAATCATGTTAAATTATTAAATCTTACATTATATCATTGATGAGAGTCAGAAAATGCATTTTTTTAGTGTTTATTTGTTAGCATTTAAGATTGATTTAGGGCTGGATTTATGCCTTAATAATTCTTAAGCATCATTCTTAATACATTGATTTATTTTGATGCATTTTCAGGTATTTTGGACTTAAAATAGATGGAAAGGCTAATAATGAGGAAAGCACGAAGATTCTACGCATATCGGATTTAAGGAATGGTTTCGGAAGAATACAACGAAGAAAAATTCTGGTTTGCACTGCGACGTGGACGCGATTTTCTGGTTTTTCATGGAGTTATATTTCTCAATTGCAAAAGTGTTCTTCAGAGAAATTAAAGTAGACGAATCAAGCTTTTCAGGAAGGTATTATGGGCGAGAATCCAAGTTTGTTTGGGTTCTCAATAGTTGTCGTAAAACCGGACCTGGAATCCTAGTCGCGGAAGGATTTCCTGACTGAGTATTGAATATTCGAACGGGCCTAACTGGAGCGTCAGATATCGAAAGCGCGTGATTAAAAAGCCCAGATTCATCTACACATTCGGGACTACAATTTTTATGAAGTGACCAAGCCCAGAAAAGATCTTTTTCATTGCGAGAATCCTGGTGCAAACTGGAGACGAATTCTGTTGTCCATATCTGATAAGATTTTGACAAATCTGGAAGTCTATCTTTTAAGAAACGTCTAGGAAAGATTTTCTGTGAGTCCTAGGGGAGAATTAAGGAAAATACATGTTATTTATTGAGGAGTGTTAGGTTAACCAGGGGGGAGACGGCAGTGAAGTTTTGTTAGAGAGAGATTCCGTTTTTTTTTTCCTTCAAAAAGAATGAACTCCATGTCCAACTAAACTCCAAGCAAGGCGAAAGGATGAGCTTCTAGGTGTAGTTGTTCTTGTTTCTATCTTTGACTCAGCTGTATGGATTGATTGTTAAACATTGCTTATTAATTTACTCTTTGATTAAATAAGAAGGATTTGAATTTAGTTGACAACTTTATTTATCTTCTTCTTCTCTTAGAATTTCTTAATCTGGTGATTGCAATCTTCTTCTCCATATAAGTCTAGTCAAGCTTTTCTTATATCAAAGTTGTTAGATGCAATTGATTCTGGTAGATTTATCTTATAGAATTGTCCATTACTGCAGTATTATTATTAAATATATTGTCGCTTCTTGATAATTCATGAGATAGACTTTGCGTGTTTGAGTTGGAGTTAAAGAGTAACTAGTGGCAATCACATTAGGATATTCACGTGCTTTGATTGGATATCTACCAATTGCTGATTTGGGATGTGAAATTAGTAATTGATATTAAATAATTGAGTCTAGATGGGAATAAGGCAACAAACTTAGGAAGGATTCTTGGAACCTTGTCATTTCTCTTATTGAATTCTTCAACATACTTTCACAATTTCATTGATAAAACTCAGATTTTTCTCATTAGAACCTTACTGTTCAGAATCAAAGTTTACATTTTCTCTTGTAGTTCGCATTCTTCGTGGGATCGACACCTCAGCTATATACAATAATCGTGTGTTAGTTTGAGCGTAATCAAATTTTGGTGCCGTCGCCGGGGAGTGCGCTTAATTACAAAAAAAGATTGACGACTTTGAGACAAGACGGTAATATTGTTCTTTGCTTTTTGTTTCAATTTATTTTTATTTTTATTTTTATTATTTTATTCTGTTTTTCCTCTTTCCTTTAGTTCCTTTGGTGTATGCGTATAGATTCATTAAAAGACCTGAGATAGAGTTACCTTCTCCTTCCATGTCTGATAGTGAAAGTTCACCTAGATCAAATCACAGTGCTCACTCAAACGAGGATTTAAGGAATTTTAATAACATGGCCGATAATAACAATGAGAATGCGGTTAGAACACTTAAGGATTATTTGCAACCTAGCGGAACGGCCACACCATCTTGTATCATGTTCCCCCCTAATGTTCAATTACCTGAGTTTAAGCCAGGCATGATTCAATTGCTACCAACTTTCCATGGATTAGAGAATGCAAACCCTTATGTCCACATTAGGGAATTTCAGGAAGTAGTAGCAACCTTCCAAAATAGGGCTGACATGATAGATACCGTCAAACTTAGGTTTTTCCCTTTTTCTCTTAAGGATAATGCTAAGGTTTGGTTGTATTCATTAAGGCCTAGGTCTATAGGTAGTTGGGATGAGATGACACAAGCCTTCTTCCAAAAATATTTTCCAGCCCATAAGACCAATAACCTCAAGAGACAAATCTCAAACTTTGCACAAAAAGAGAGTGAAACCTTATACCAAGTTTGGGAATGTTACAAAGATCTTTTGAACTCTTGTCCACACCACGGGTTTGAGAGTTGGTGGGTGGTTAGTTACTTCTATGATGGACTTCTAAGTAGGGAGAGATAATTTGTAGAAACCATGTGTAATGGAGATTTTCTCCACAAAGATCCTGATGAAGCCATAGACTTTCTAGATGATTTATCGGAAAAAGCCCACATTTGGATGGGACCCAATGCTTTAGAAAGTACTAAGAGAAACCAAACCGCTGGAATTTATCAACTTAGGGAGGAGGATGCTCTTAAAGCCCGTTTGGAGGTCTTGACCAAGGAAATAGAGGTTTTGAAAACCAAGGATGTTAGAGCCCCCGAGCCGGTTGTTAAGGTAGAGTCCCATGAACCTTGTTTTATGTGTAACGGAGTAGATCATATACCTAGGGATTGTCCAACCTATTTTGAGTTGAGAGAGATGAAGGAAGAGTGTAATACTTTAGGTATACCCTTTAGGAAAACATACTCACCCTACTCTAACACCTTCAATCCCGGTTGGAAGAATCATCCTAACTTTCATTGGAGAACCGATACTCTACCCAATCTAATACCCAATGGAGACTGGAACCAATTTCTTCTAGTGCACCACAATCTTTACCTTTGGAAGATGTTTTTAAGTCATTTATGCAGGCACATGCCCAAAATGTGGAACAGCAAGGCAAGATAAACCAACGGTTGCTAGAGGAGCAACAAGGGGTCAAAGAGGAACAAAAGGTGATAAAGAGTCAACTCACCAAGTTGACAAATTTATTGACGGTTCAAGAACAAGGTAGTTTTCCATCACAGCCACAACCTAATCCAAGGGGACAACATATGGCACAAACCTCCAATGTCGACAATCAAAATGTTAAAGAGGTTAATGCCATGATTACTCGCAGCGGTAAGGAAATTCATGGACCCACTCCACTATCAAACTTGATTCTTAACACCATGAGTAACAAGGCTGAAGCTCCCAAGGATCAAGATGCCCCTAGTGATTCCTTACCGGTGCCTTTCCCTCAAGCACTCCTTAAACCTAAGAAGAGAAATTCGACATTAAAAGTTGAGATACTTGACCAACTTAAGTAAGTTAAAATTAACCTTCCTTTTCTTCATGTCATAAAACAGGTTCCGAGTTATGCTAAAGTTATCAAAGATCTATGCACACAAAAGAGGAGGCATAGTGTGAAGAAGACATCGTTCTTAACGGAACAAGCAAGTGCGGTACTTGATAGCAAGACACTGCCCAAGTATAAAGATCCAGGCTGCCCTACAGTAGCTTGCCAAATTGGAAACAAAGCGTGCGGTCAAGCATTACTAGATTTGGGGGCAAGTGTGAATCTCATGCCTTACTCCGTTTACTTGCAACTTGGCCTAGGTGAGATCAAACCGACTTCCGTGACACTTCAACTAGCGGATCGATCGGTAAGAAAACCAAGAGGTATAGTGGAAGATGTTTTAGTGCAAATTGATAAATTCTATTATCCCGTTGACTTTTTGGTGCTAGATACTATTTACATTGTGAATACGGAGTCAAAAACTCCATTGATACTTGGAAGACCATTCCTTGCCACTGCCAATGCCCTCATAAATTGTAGGAATGGTCTAATGACACTATCATTTGGAAATATGACTTTAGAGGTGAATGTTTTTCGCGTCTCAAGGCAGTCGCATGAAGAGGATGAGTGTTTTGACACTTACATGATCGAAGAGCTTATTTTGGAGGATGAATATATTAAAGATAATTCAAATCCTTTGGAATTCCTTCTTAAAGATTTTGATTTTGATGATTCTTATTCCCATGCCGTTAATATTGTTGATGTTTTTGATAAGTCGCAGGGATTTATTAAGAAATCATGGCAGCTATGCTTTGAGGAGTTGCCTAAGGAAAGGGAGCAACCTAAACCATCCTCCGAAGAGACACCAACGCTAAATCTAGCTCCGCTGCCCAAAGGACTCAAACGTGCCTTTTTAGGCCCAGGTGATACCTTTCCGGTTATTGTTTCTTCCGAACTTAGTGATGAGCAATGTGATAAATTATTGAATTTGTTAAGAAAGCATAAATCTACAATAGGTTGGACTATAGCTGACATAAAAGGTATTAAACCTTTAATTTGTTCCCAAATGATCTATCTAGAAGAAGGAGCTAACCCTCGTAGAGACCCACAAAGAAGACTAAATCCAACTATGAAAGAGGTAGTTAAGAAAGAAGTCATTAAACTATTAGATGCGGGAATCATTTACTCGATATCCAATAGTAAGTGGATTAGTCCAACTCAATTAGTCCCTAAGAAAGCCGGGGTGACTGTGGTAGAAAATGAAGCGGGGGTATTAGTACCAACTAAGGTAGTGACCGGGTGGCGTATGTGCATTGACTATAGGAAACTTAATTCGGCTACTCGGAAAGACCATTTTCCCCTCCCATTTATTGACCAAATCTTAGAACGTGTGGCTGGTCATCCTTTCTATTGCTTTTTAGATGGGTATTCGGGGTACTACCAAATAGAGATTGCCTTAGAGGATCAAGAGAAGACCACCTTTACTTGTCCTTTTGGTACCTTAACTTTTCGTAGAATGCAATTTGGTTTGTGTAATGCACCGGCTACTTTTCAAAGATGCATGATGAGTATTTTTAGTGACATGGTTGAAAAATGTATGGAAGTGTTTATGGATGATGTAACCGTGTTTGGAACTTCTTTTGATTCATGTTTATCTAATCTGGAAAATGTGTTGTGTAGGTGTGAAGAAAAAGGGCTTGTGCTGAATTGGGAGAAGTGCCATTTTATGGTGTCCTCCAGAATAGTGTTGGGCCATATAGTGTCTGAAAAAGGGATAGAAGTGGATAAATAAAAAATTGAAACAATCTCTAAATTACCTACTCCTAAGAACATTAAAGATTTTAGATCTTTTCTAGGACATGCTGGGTTTTATAGGAGGTTTATTCAAAATTTTAGTTCTATCTCTAGACCTTTATGTAACCTTTTGTTGAAGGACACCGAGTTTAAGTGGAGCCTCGAATGTGAGAAAGCCTTTAGGACACTTGTTTCTAAGCTTACAACCGCCCCCATTATGCAATCACCTGATTTTTCCTTGCTTTTTGAGATTATGTATGATGCTAGTGATTATGCTATAGGGGCTGTTTTAGGACAAAGAAGGGAAGGAAAACCATTTGTAATTTACTATGCTAGTAGAACCTTGAATCATTCTCAAATGATGTATACCACAACCGAGAAAGAGTTACTAGCCATAATATTTGCTTTGGGCAAATTCCGCTCTTATTTAATTGGTTCACCTATCCTTATATTCACAGATCATTCCGCCCTTAAATTTCTTTTCTCAAAAACGGATGCCAAGGCTCGTTTGATACGTTGGATTTTTCTTTTGCAGGAATTCGACTTGACCATCAAGGACAAGAAGGGGGTAGAAAATGTTGTGGCGGACCATTTATCTTGTTTGGAATTCAAGAATGATACTGATACTTTGCCCATTCGAGAAGCCTTTCCGGATGAGAATTTATTTGCCGTCCTTTCTCACACACCGTGGTATGCCGACATTGCAAATTACTTGGTTTCCGGTCAAGTTCCATCTACATGGAGTGCACAAGATAAGCATAAGTTTTTGGCTGAGGTAAAAATGTTTTATTGGAATGATCCTTATCTTTTAAAATATTGCCCTGATCAAATAATAAGAAGATGCATTCCGGATATAGAAATTGATAATGTGTTAAATTTTTGTCATACTTATTCTTGAAGTGGTCATTTTTCTATTAAAAAGACAGCAGCAAAAATTTTGCAATGTGGTTTTTATTGGCCTACTTTGTTCAAGGATACTAATGAGTTTTGTCGTTCATGTGAAAGATGTCAAAAGCCGGGTTCATTAACTAGCCGTCATATGATGCCTCTCAATCCGATCTTAGTGGTGGAAATCTTTGATTGTTGGGGGATCGATTTTATGGGACCATTCCCACCTTCTTTTGGATATCTTTACATTTTGCTTGCTGTTGATTATGTTTCTAAATGGGTTGAAGCCATACCTTGCCGTACTAATGATAATAAAGTTGTTAAATTTCTCAAAGATCATATTTTATCTAGGTACGGTACTCCACGTGTTATAATCAGTGATCAAGGGTCACATTTTTGTAACTGTTCTTTTGAGGCTTTGATGCGCAGGTGTGGAGTCACCCATAAGGTTTCTATAGTTTACCACCCACAAACTAATGGCCAAGTGGATCTTGCGAATAGGGAGATTAAGCGAATACTTGAAAAAATAGTAAGTCCAAATCGAAAAGATTGGTTGTTGCGCCTATCGGATGCACTTTGGGCGTACCGGACAGCATACAAGACGGTTCTTGGAGCATCTCCTTATCGTTTGGTATTCGGCAAAGCATTCACTTACCGGTAGAACTAGAGCATAAAGCATTGTGGGCTATCCGAAATTTTAATTATGACTTGACAACCTCCGGTGAAGAAAGGAAATTGCAATTTTGTGAGCTTGCGGAGTTGAGAGATGATGCATATGATAATGCTAAGGACTTAAAGTCAAGAATGAAGGCGGTGCATCATAAGAAAATACTCCGGAAGAATTTTGAACAAGGAAATCGAGTGTTTCTTTATGATTCTCGGTTACACTTCCATCCGGGAAAACTACGATCACGATGGACGGGACCTTATATGGTGAAGAGTGTTTTTCCGAATGGAGTAGTAGAAGTTGAAGATCCTTCCGACGGTCGTATATTTCGAGTTAATGGCCAAAGGTTAAATCTCTACTTGGAACATGAACGTGTTGAAGATAGGCTCGAAGAAATCTCTTTGGAGCCCTCGGTTTACCCCTCTTAATCGGGTATTTTCGTTCCCTTGTATGTAAATTTTGTTGAGTTTTTGTTTTTATTCAGTTTTGATTAATTTAAGTTGTTTTTATTTATTTTTGGGTTTTGATTAATATCTTAATGTTATCCTGTAGTTTCCATTCTTTTTGTTTCCTTTGTTCTATGATTAGAGATCGAAATTCCAAAAGAGGACCAAACTGGAGTTTGCATGGTCCTGCACATGCAGTTTTCGGCCTTCTCGCGCTATTGATTAACAAGGGAGTTTTTCTTTACTTTTTTTTTTTTTTCACATTGGGGACAATGCAAGTTTTTAGTTGGGGGTGGAGGAAACACATTTCTTATTTCATGTCATTGAATTGTTTGGTGTCATTTTATCTTGTTCGTTTTCATTTGCTTGATAGGAGTTTGAAAATTTAAAAAAAAAAAAAGAAAAAAAGAAAAAAATTTACATTTGTTTGTTTGTTTTTAGCATGTTTTGTGTTAGTTTTAGAGTCAATTCACATGTCAATGATATGATTATGATTGTGACAGCATATAGCTTTTAGAAGAAGTTAAATCTTACTTCGGTTTGAGAATAATTTTAAGTGTCGATTTCCATTTAGTTGGAGACTCTTGTTTGCGGTAAGATTGCACGATTAATCTAAAACATTTAGAAAAGTTTTATGTGCGAATGTTTTTGTGAATATTTTTTAGGTCTTGACAAGCTCTAGAACTTATTTGAAAATTACTCAAGGCAAAATCTTATAATGTACACTGTTTAGGATATGATGTAGGCCATCTTTGGCCCGTTTGAGCCTTTCACGCTTTTCTTTGTTATATTTATCACTAGTTACCCGTTTGAGCCTTTTTTTAAAAAAAATTAGCCTTGTTTCTTTCGATAGCCCATTTACTTACCTTTATGAGCCTAAAAATATTTTATCCTTACCTTTCATTTAAGAGAACTTAGTTATAAGCAGTTGTTGAAGAGCACTAAAGAAGAGTAAGGGTGGAAATATGAATTTTTCTTTTTTTTACTACCACAGCCCAAGAACATTAAAGGAGATAAGTTGGAGGTTGTGGAGAAGAGAAAAGAATGTGAATGGTTATGAGCTAGAAAAGAAGAAAAAAAAAAAAAAGTGAGAAATTTTGTGCTGAAAAAAAAAAAGTTAATTGATAAAAAGAAAAAGAAAAAAGAAAGTGTTGAATTATTGAGAGAAATGCTCGAAAAAATGGTTGAATGAATGAGGTATTGAAGTAAGGTTATTAAGTGCTTAAAAGGTTGTGTTTAAGATTAAGAGATTGAGTTCTTTTACTTGTTTAATCCTTCCCGTTCTTTCTTAACCTTTACCGTAGCCTAACGTTACAAGCCAATTAAAGAACTATTGATCCAATGCAGTGTGCTTTTTCTACATTAGTGGAGAGTGATTTGAAAAGTGAGCTTATGGAGTTTGATTTGTGATTGATGTCACGAAATTTAATATGTTTTAGAGGCCAAGACTTGTGTTCATGAATGTTGAGCATAAAATAATCCAAGTGTTTGGATTTGTGGTTTGTGGTAAGATGGATGTTAAGAGTCGATAACAACTATGAGGTTGGTACTTGAATTGTTTTTGGGCTTGGGTGAAATTTAATGATTCTATGTGTTGTGTGTTATGTGCAACTTTTGAGACAAAAAGCTGAATTACTTTTGAATTAATGCGAACATGCTTGTTCTTGTTTTAAACTTTTTTTATGTTTTGTTTTTATTCATTTTCTAGTTTGGAACTCATTTCATCTTTCTTTCACTTGATTGCTAGAGACTAGCAAAAAGCTAGTTGGGGTTATGATGAGAGTCAGAAAATGCATCTTTTAGTGTTTATTTGTTAGCATTAAGATTGTTAGGCTGGATTTATGCCTTAATAATCCTTAAGCGTCATTCTTAATTATGATTTATTTGATGCATTTCAGGTATTTTGGACTTAAATAGATGAAAGGCTAAATGAGGAAAGCACAAAGATTCTACGCATATCGGATTTAAGGAATGGTTTCGAGAAGAAAACGAAGAAAAATTCTGTTTGTGCTGCGACGTGGACCCGATTTTCTGTTTTTTTCATGGAGTTAGATTTCTCGATTGCAAAAGTGTTCTCAAGAAATAAAGTAGAGAATCGCTTTTCAGGAAGGTATTATGGGCGAAATCCGAGTTTGTTTGGGTTCTCATAGTTTTGCAAAACCGGACCTGGAATCCTAGTCGGGAAGGATTTCCTGGTTGAGTATTGAATATTCGAAGGCCTAACTGGGCGTCAGATATCAAAGCAGGTAATTAAAAGCCCATTCATCTACACTCCGGACTACAATTTTTATGAAGTGACCAGCCCAGAAAAGATTTTTTCATTGGAGAATCCTGTGCAAACTAGAGACGAATTCTGTTTTCCATATCTGATAGATTTTGACAAATCTGGAAGCTATCTTTGAGGAAACGTCTAGGAAAGATTTTCCGTGAGTCCTGGGGAGAATTAAGGAAAACACATGTTATTTATTGAGTGTGTTAGGTTAACAAGGGGGACGGCAGTGGATTTTTTAGAGAGAGTTTTTCCTTTTTTTCCTTCCTCAAAATGAACTCAATGTCCAACTAACCTCCAGCAAGGCAAAGGATGAGCTTCTAGGTGTTTTGTTCTTTTTCTATCTTTGACTCAGCTGTATGGATTGATTGTTAAACATTGCTTATTAATTTCTCTTTGATTAAATAGAAGGATTTGAATTTATTGCAACTTTATTTATCTTCTTCTTCTCTTAGAATTTCTTAATCCGGTGATTGCACTCTCTTCTCCATATAGTCAGTCAAGCTTTTCTTATATCAAAGTTGTTAGATGCAATTGATTTTGGTAGATTTATCTATAGAATTGTCCATTACTGCAGTATTTTATTAAATATATTGTCGCTTCTTGATAATTCATGAGATAGACTTGGTGTTTGAGTTGGAGTTAAAGAGTAATTAGTGGCAATCACATTAGATATTCACGTCTTTGATTGGATATCTACCAATTGTGATTTGGGATGTGAAATTAGAATTGAATTAAATAATTGAGTCTAGATGAATAAGCAAAAACTTAGGAAGATTCTGGAACCTTGTCATTTCTCTTATTGAATTCTTCAACATATTTTCACATTATTATACAATTCATTGATAAACTCAGTTTTTTCTCATTACAACCTTACTGTTCAGAATCAAAGTTTACATTTTCTCTTGTAGTTCGCATTCTTCGTGGGATCGACACCTCAGCTATACACAATAATCGTGTGTTAGTTTGAGCGTAACACATGGGACATCGGCGATTCTTGTCTCCGATCATCGGTGAGGCGAAGCAAGCAATTCGATGGAAAAGAGAATTAGATCTCCACCGAAACTATATTTAGGGGATTAAATTCATGAACAACAATCTCATGAACGATGTGCGTTTCATGAAAAATATATTATCAGTTATAAGGTAGAAAACAGGAAACGATCCTGGTGCATCAAATTGGACAAAGAAAAGTATATTCTTGAGTTGGAATACTGGTGTAAATTTAAAATCAGACATAACCTTGATGGGATGCCATTGAAAAAAACATATGTGACAACATCATTGGCACATTATTGAGCATCGAAGGGAAATCAAAAGATACTGATAAAGCTCGACTGGATTTGGCTGATATGACCATACGCGCGAGAAGTTCATTTGCAACCTTATGGTGATAGAATTTGAAACCACAAGCATGTTATACTCTTACATTAGATAGAGAAGACAATTTTGCCAGTTCCTGAAATCAGTGAAGGTTCCAGATGGTATGCAAGTAATATCTCCCAATGTGTCAATGTGAAAGACGGCAAGGTTCATGGGTTAAAGAGTCATGATTGTCATGTCCTCTACAACAACTGCTGCCCATTGGAATACGTCCATTTTTGCGTCAAGATGTTTGTACGCACTTGTTGAGTTGTCTTACTTCTTCCAACAAATATGTGCTAGGACGTTGTCTGTAAATGATCTAAAAGATTGGAACAAGATATAGTCCTAATTCTTTGTAAGCTTGAAATGGTTTTCCCTCCTGCATTTTTTGATATTATGTTCATTTGGCTATACACCTTCCATTGGAAGCTAAATTGGGTGGTCCAGTTGGATATCGGTGGATGTATCCAATTGAAAGGTTTTTGTGAAAATTAAAAAAAATATGTTAGAAACAAAGCTAGACCTGAGGGCTCTATTGCAGAGGGTTATTTGGTGAATGAAGCATTAACATTTTGTTCAATGTATCTGTGGGGAATTGAAACTAGATTTATCGAGTAGAGAGAAATGATGACAGTTTGCATGACCAGCAGAGTATTATCAGTTTTCGGTCAAAAGACTCGTCCATGGGGTTCAAGGATTAATCGAACTTCCACCAGATGAATTGCAAAAGGCTCATTGGTACGTCTTGAACAATTGTGAAGAACTGCAACCTTTCTAGAGTGAGTCCCTTTTAAGTTAGTTTGAAACCTGTTGACAAATAATGCTTTAATTGTATATAAGTTTAGCCTGATAACATAGTCCTCTCTCTTTTCTTTATGTAACAAACAGAGAACACTTAAAGAGGTGGAGGCCCTAAATTGTGATAACACAGAACAGTTATTTCCTAAATGGTTTGCAGATCGTGTAAGTATACCTTAATCATTTATAAACATACAAAACAAGGTTTAATATGTTTTAGGTTAGCTTAATGATTTGGAATTGAGTTTTGTTGTAGATGAACACTTGCATGTTGACAGGTGCAATGATACAACTAAGGAACTATACTTCTTATCTTGTGGTCCAATTTTCGTGTTAAATGTTATAACAATTGTATTGTCATGGAGTGCGTTTCCATAACAATGATTAATCACATTGTCGAGTTACACAAAATTGTGGAGTGAGGATGCCAAGGGAGCATGATGGTGATCCAATTGATTTTTATGGTGAATTAGTGGTGTGTTAGAGCTAAATTTGTTAATGTTCGGGTTATGTTGTTTATTCAAGTGTAACTGGTTTGACACTGATGCAA